CCAAACCCTCAGTCTTTAAATGACTGATTTAGCAGACTGGCTTAGTTACCCCACTACTCATTTGGATGCCATGAACTGGCTTAGTTACCTGACAATCCATTTGCTAGATCCTCATTAAAATGAGGATCTAGCAAAAAATAAACTCTACCACACTGTTAGGCCTGATCCAAGGGGGAGCAAAGACCGCCCAAGCCATCCTGGATTATGTCAGCAGCACTTCACAATATGAGAAGCTGTGACAGAAGTAGCAGCAGTCCCTAACCCCAAAGAGAACAGAAACAGACAGCTCAACTTTTTTAGAAGCTCAGCACTCCCAATATTTGGACACCTAAGAACTGCAAACTCCCCCCTACTTTAAGTTAAATCCTACAATACTTGGAAAATACAAATTACTTACCAGTAACTGGTAGCAGAAACTGGCCTGGGATGCTTTTTTCCCCAGTCTGCATCTCAGAAACACCAGTGTGTATCCAGCACCAGAGTCTTCACCCTTAGGCCAAAAGAAAAACCTCAACACACAACTGTTCAGCATCAGGCAAACGCTCCCAAGTGCTGTATGGCTTAAGCATCTCCTGGTAACTCACTGTAATCTTCATCTGATGAACAAAGCAACATTTCCTGTGGCACGAACTACACACTGTATTATAACCAGGGAAAAAGCAGAAGAGGGTTTTGGTTATTGAAAAGAATTGCAAAACCATTCCACTAAGATATTTTTCTCTATATATTTGAAGTTTAATTTGAAGTTTAAAAAAAGTGGCTAACGGCAGGGGGAAGAAAAGGTTTTAATTTCAAATTCCTTTACCCTGATGCACCTCAGAATCTGTATTTGTAGAAAGAGGATAAGCATCCACAGCAGGGAGGGTTTTAATACAACCCGTTCTTCTGGAGCGTGAAGCACTCACCTTTAAGCTCTCTTCTCCAGCAGATTCAAAAGCACAGTGTGGTGTGGGAGAAACCTAAAGTCAGGAGCCAATGCCACGGCTGTGGTGGCCAGTCAATGTGTGGGATTTGCTGTTTGCTTGGCCTTATCTCTGGATCACGATGGCAACACAGGTTTTTCAGCTGATACCCAGCAGAGCACCAGTAACACCCAGATGTGGGAATGAAAACTGGTATTCCTTCTTCACCCCACCAGTGTCCCACAGCTAGCTGTAGGAGCACATGCCCAAACACCATTTTTCTGCTGATCAACAATGTCAGTAAGATCTCATCATTGAAATCTGCAATACACTCTAAGGGGATAAAAAGTTTTCTCCCCCATTTCTCTGCAGGCTCAGGAAGTAGCGATATTATCATTACTTCAAAGATCGGTTGGGCATAACTTTAAAAGTAAAACCACTAACTGACACAAGGACCTGACACGTATCACTTTTTTCCTGTTAGCTTAATCTTTCAGCCATTCTCCATGTAAAGACTGTTTTACCACAGAAACTAAATGACTGTCTGTGCTATGCGGATCATAGGATCTCAGTAATGCTCCTAAGGGATGAATTCCTAACAAAAAAATAGCCATCCATCAAATAGGACACAAGACTTAGCTCTCCGTAACTCTCAAATCCTTCCTGATGAAAGCATTTACTTCTCATAATTCATTATGCACAAAAAGAGATGCCAAAGCACCAAGAGGTAATCAACAGCTTAAAATAAAATGAGCCAACTGAGAAGTAGGCTTTGAATGAGCTCAACTCTGTTCATTTACTGCTTTCTGCCAGGCAAAGTTTCTGATTATTGACTGGTGCAGAGGAAGCCATTACCCTTCAGGGATCACACCAGCCTGTTAATATGCCTTCAGATTTGCAGGCTGGTTGTGCCCTGCTGCAGGCATGAGCAGCTGCAACTGTTCTCTGACCTCTTCTGGGCACAAATTGCTGTAATCACTCCAGGAAATTTGAGAAATCTGGGGATTTTCTTTTTGTCATTACACTAACATTGCAGTTGCTTCCCGAGGACAAGGCTGACATTAGGCTGCTGCTCTTACTCCTCCACATCACCTAAGTTTTTCAACATTTGACATGTAACCTGAAGTGAAAAATCTATCAGAGTCATGGAAGCTCTCTTACCTGAACCCAGGCAATTGGTTTTTTTAACAAATTACAGTAGGAAATAAATATAACAAGAGAAACTATGCTTGACATTACTGTTCTTCCATTTTATCTGCTGCTATCAAGAGCCATTAATTTTAACAGCAATAAAAAACACAGGGGATAGCTAGGGATCAGTTCTGCATCAATTAATGACAGACATCAGAGTATTGCACCACCAAACGTATCCGGTTTTACTTATCCCTCAGTATTTTTTCCCTCTACTAGCCCTAATTGCTTTTCACTTGCAGCAATTACTGTGCCAGAACCCCTACTAGACAGCTGTTCTGGTTTGTACATGGATAAAAAAGTCAGCACTTTCATTACTTCGCTTCAAATCTCTCCTGGTTCTCCAAACTCCATCCCAAAAAGTATTCCAAAGGGTCACTTAAATTTTTACTGAAACTTATTTTTCAGAGTATTAGTTTATTTTTTGGAAAGAAATAAGAGATTGTTATCTCCTCAATGCTTAAGGGGATCAAGTGTCAAAACAACTAGCATCTCAGTTGAATTGGAAAGTAACCCATTTTCAGTAAACAAGTACTTTATCAAGACTTGGACATGATCTATGCAAACTAAGCAACAGCAAGACATTTAAATCTTTGGGAGAACTGAGAATTAAAATAGGTGGGACCAGATGCGTACCTTTTCTCCAGACTATACATTAAAAACTGATTTGCATTATAGCAAGTACACAAACCAAAACTAAGCAGGCATTTAGACATCAGTGGCACCAGGATAAGCTTAATACAAGCCACATCAAGTCTTATTCTCTTGTTGAATCACTTCTAATTCCTATCTAATCTCTCCCTAATATGTCCATGTCTGCAGTATCTATTACCCTATAAGAGCAATGCTTGGCTAAAAGGGACATTCTTTCTACCTGCCATCACAAATGATTACTTAGCCATCACACATCCATTCCAAATAGTCCTTCTGTGTTATGTTGAAAATACAGTTCCAGTTCATATGTCCAAGAATTAAGGATAACAAATTAAAGCTTTTTGCCCTAATCATTTCCATATATTGATCCTTGGCACATATTAAGAATCAAGTGCGAAGAGATAGCTGTAATATAGCTAGACCCTACTCATAGATTAGACAAACCTTACCCTTTTTCTACATTACTAAAGTATATAATTAACAAATTTGAATATAAATTGAATGCTGCTAAATCATACTTAGGTCCAAACTGATCTCACTACGTTATTACTGTCTCATTTATGCTCTAAACATAGCCCTACACCGTGAGTTCTGATGCTTTGTACCACTTAATTTGATCAAAGCTTTGACTGCTAAGAGAAGCCAAGCAAAAGCACAAAGCCCAATTTGCTGAGAACACAACGCTGATATTTAGCCAGAAACCTGCCTAAGTTTAAAAACAAGCATTAAGTTTCAGTGCTTCAAAATTATGTGTCTGACTATCCAACTTAACATGTCCTTATTCCAGTTCCTAATATATTGTTCTCAGACCACTGCAATCACTGCCCTGTTACCAACATCAGTGCTGCAGGGACATTAGAGAGCCATCTGTTAAGAATGAATTCCAGACTGTGGGGCTTGGGATCTTTTAATTATTTTTTTTCTCCCTAGGATAGCCTTGGAAATGTGCACATCCTGCTAGCTTCACAGACCCCGGGGAGGAACAGTCACACACCGTCACCTTCAGTGCAATCAAGAGCAAAGGGGCAAAGACCAACAAGGCAGTTAATTTTATACCAAGGGAGCATCTCTCAAAGAAGCACCATTCTTCAAAAGAAGAAGCACTTTAGCAGAAAGAAGCAAACTCTAGCATTGTTTTCTTTCAAGTAAATGCTTTAAGTTCTATAAAATTTTCCATTATCAACTACATCTGAGGAAGAAAGGCAGACTTACAGGACAGTCCTTGTTAGCTAGGTGTTAGATTAGATTATGGAATAAACTCCTTTTTGTACATCAAGGCAGTAGCTAGTTTCAGTCTACCCATTGTTGTTTAGTCTCACTGCAATCATTTGCAGGGACTCTAATCTGAGACCATAGGGAACTCCTTCACAGACCGCATGCACTTACCAAAGTTATATTAAGCATGCTCATCCCTGTTGCTCCGTGTTTAGTGTGGAGTGACAATGTTGCAGCACGTACTTTGTTTTCACTGTTATGTATTAAAACCAAAACTTAACTGCATGATGCAGAAGCTAAGAATACTGCTCCAGCCTGAATTAGCTGAATTTACCCTGAAACACCATCCGTTCAGTGCAGTCAATCTGAAAGTCAGAGCTAAGCATAGCAATTTCATTTGACATCTACTCAACCACATGACTAAGCAGCTATTTCCTGCAGAACTTGCATTTCCTCAGAAAGTCTGCAATTCAGAAGGAAATTAACACATAGCTTTGCCCATTGTGGCACTGAAGCCAGTAAAATGCTGAATCCAACCAGCTCTTTACTATTGTATGAAATACTGTTCCCAGATATTAAAGAAAAAGCAATTAAGTCCAGAAGCCAGCTACATGGGTTTTTTTTAGTACCCAGAATATCCAGATTTTCTTCACCTTCCATACCAAGTTTCTTCCTGTTCTTCATAAGATTTCAAAATCAATAGTTTGATTCACAGCACCACTTAAGTTACATACCCAGAAAGAAGCACAAGTCATGAAAGGTTAGGTTGCAAAAGTCCAAAGATTTAGACTTGCATTTTACTATTGTTGAGTATTACAAGACAGTTCTTTATTTTAAACATTAAAGTGCCAGGTTTATGTACAAACTATTAAAACAATAGTAAAAAAGGTAAACTTAAAACCTGCTAAGAAAGCAGTGAGGTCATGCAGTTGCCTCCAGGGTTTTCTGCAGCGTATTCAGCGAATTTAAGACCAGAATTTCTCAACTGCTCCTTTGTTTATGGGGAGAACAGCAGAAGCTAGTGGTCACTGCTCATAACCTCCCATCTTGCAGAAGGAAGGTGCCCATATCTTCCACAAAATGGAGTAGCATATGTTGTAAGAGGTACATCTAAACATTCTATGAATTAAACATTGGCAATGTCTAATAAAAAGGGATTTTACTGCTGGAGCTACACCAGCCTCCTGAAAAGTACCAATATCACCACACTTTTCAAGAGTGGGATTTTAGTACAGGAATCAAGTCACACTGGCTGAATATACTTAAGGTTTCCCTGTAAACAGGGGAGCGTACACACTAACTCATATGGTCTCAGTTCCTTTAAAATTCCGCATCCAGGGTGAAAGAGTTGTCTGTGGGCTTCGACATGACTCCCATCCTCTGATATTCACCTACTCGTTTCTCAAAGAAATTGGTCTTGCCTTCCAGAGAGATGTTTTCCATGAAGTCAAAAGGATTCTCTGCTTTGTATATCTGAAATGCAAAGGCAATTCTATAGTCACTACAGGTGCTCACATCTTGAATACGTGAGAGCATTAGAGATCAGCTGGAAGGACTCTATGACAACAGCAGCAAGCTTACTATGTAGTGAACAAAAAACTCTGCCTCAAGTCTTCTCTAGTGTATTTGTTCCTGTCTCTTAGCTGCAGTGAACAGAAGCACAGCAACTCTTATATAGCTGTTTTTCCATAGCATGCTTTTGCTTTTCCTTCTGTGGGTCTCCAAACAGGATCTAGCAGCAGGACTGCTAAATGGTTTTACAAGTTAGACCAATATTGCTGCAGCCATTTTAGAATTTGGGTTTCTGGAGGAAATTAAGCTTAATATTATCTTTTCCCCATGAAAGATTCAGTGTATTAGAGCCTTACCTTGTTAAATCCCAGTTCCAACATAAGCCGGTCTGCTACAAACTCTATGTACTGTTTCATTAAAGTGCAGTTCATGCCAATCAGCTTTACAGGCAGTGCCTCCGTCAAGAATTCCTGCAGATAATAGAAGCACTTTATGTACAGAAACTGGTATTCACTTTGTACTGTCTAGGTTAATTTTATACCCAACAGCTCCCCAGCTTTCTGCTTAATTGCTATCAAGTTCTAAACAAGGAGCAGACTATTACCTGTTCTATGAGAACAGCATTCATGATGATTTCCTTTACTCTCTCCTCTGATGGTTTGCGTACCAAGTGCTTGAACATGAGGCAGGCAAAATCACAGTGCAAACCCTGCAAAGAAGTTTCAGAAAATTATTTCAGGAATACTGATTTAAAAGAGCCACTCAAATCAGCAGCACAGAAAAAATAGCCCAATATCTAGGCACCATCTTTGCACTTGCCACATTATTTAGTGTTATCTACAGACAACTTTCTGCCTAACCAGAAGGAGGCATCAGCGAGTTCAGCCAGTACCAGCTGCACTTGCTCCAAATGTCAAAGTATACTGAGTGCAAGAGTTGGTAAGAACCCTTGAACTATTTTAGAGGGAGTAAAATGCCAAGTTCATTCATTCTCTAAGATCCACGATGACACATTTACACACTTTAGTGAGCTTTATAGACTGCCTGTTTCTAAACATACTCCTGTTTTAAAATATAGGTTCCAGCTGAATATCATTACTTTGAGCTACTGTGGCACATTACCATCTTAACTGCTAGAATTTGATGCATACCTCATCTCTACTGATGAGTTCGTTAGAAAAAGTGAGTCCAGGCATTAATCCTCTTTTCTTCAGCCAAAAAATTGATGCAAAAGAGCCAGAAAAGAAAATTCCTTCCACTGCTGCAAAAGCTACTACGCGTTCTCCTGTTAAGAAAAGATTGGTAGTTAACATCACACAGAAAACTTAACAGGATTAATACCCAGAAGCTGCAAATAGAGCAGTGAACTGCATCCTCCAAGGAGAATGAAAAAGTTTCTGCTCAAGTGTGTTATAGCCTGTCCTTAAAAACTATTACAGTAAAGGCTTCTGGTCATTAAGCAAAACTCTTAAACATGAGAGGAAGTGAAAAATAATTAGAGTAGCTACTAAGTAGCTGAAGCCAAGGCTCCTTCCCCCAGGTTAACCATCAATACCATCCTTTTTCAAAGATTGCACACTGAAAAAGAGCAGTCATTTTAGCAGCTGGTTTAAGTCAGTGTCTGCTCATCTTTGATTAAGTAAGGGACTTTGGCCATGAAGAACACTTTAATACTAGTGTACTAGTGAAATAACGATCTGTACCATCTCATCTCACCTTTGAGGCTAGACATCAAGAATCAGTAAGGCAGAGGAGCTAGAGCCTCCAACGGTACGTGTCTCCTGGAGATAGATGGCCAGTACAATTCTGGACACATGACAGCAATTTTCAATTTGATCATATAGCCAGGCATATGAAGATTGCCACATGAGCTAACATTACTCAAAATGCCTGCAATTTTACAAAGATTCACATCAGTAGCTCATTTGCAAGACAAAAATTATTTTCTTCACCTCCAGAATTATACCAGTATCTTATACTGGAGGGCAGGTACTCTCCCTGTGAACTGTGAAGTCTGGAGAAATGGTGGTTCCTCCATCTTTTTTAGGGAAGGAATTTCACTTTGCTTCCAATAGATGTACTCACCATATGTTGCTTTCTTGTCCCCAATCCAGCGCATGGCCCAGTCAGCCTTCTTTTTAACACATGGTAACGTTTCAATAGCATTAAAAAGAAATTCCCTGAGAAGGATAAAACTCATTAGGATCAGACATCAGCACAACTAGTACAATAAGCATTCACTGCCATAGATGGTCTTGTTCACTTACAAGTGCTCTGCACCTTTACCCTGTAATTAAGTCTCCTTCTCCATCTTATTTTGCACCAGTCTAGCTCTATTTGTACCCATCAACTACCTTTTCATCACCTACTCATCATATCAACACCAGTTCATATGAATTCCCATGACAATATCAAGTGTTGTACTTGACAAGGCTTTCAAAACTGCAGATTAACCAGCCTCTGCTTTCCAGTGGCAAGGCACCAGAGCTCTCATGTAAGCAGTTCTTCCTTAAACATTTACTGGAATTAAGCATCTCAGAGTAGAAATGACATGGTCAGATTTCTATAAAGTAGCAGCAATTAAATATATCTAGACTGCAAATAGCATTGCAATACATGACATTTCTCTCAACAGGGTGCTGGTCTGACAAGACATCAGAATAACTCAGTCCGGACTGCTCAAAGCCCTGTGTTTAGTTTTAAGATACCATTCTTGAATTGATTCATCTTGTTATGAAACTTTTACACTCTGGTTTTATTTTTAATCAAGACCAAAAGCCACTTTTTGGCAAACGTGACATGCTTTTTCCCCCTCCCAAGCAAAATAGTCAAGTGAGTAAGTAATGCTATATAAAAACGCTAGCTGTTAACTAAATGCATTGGGTTTGAGAGATGACATTTTAATAAAAGTGGTATCATTCTCAGAGAAACTTTCCTACATAGCTTTCTACTAGGTGCAAGGGTCCCCCGTATGAGTGCTTACTGTAATTTAATATACTCCCCTTATTTGACTGGCCATCTTTTACAGTTTCATTCCTTTATTTCAGTATTAAGTGGTTTCAGTTTCACTCTTAATCTAAGCGAGTTCTTGCTCATACACTTCAGAGGAGAAAGGTATTCTGAAGCACAGCTGCTCTTAAGCAGCAGTGGTATTTTATATAAATCTAGTTTAAATCCTAAAATTAACCTTAAAGTCAGAGAGTGACTGATATGCATCATTTAAACCTCAACTCTTAAAGAGTTTTGAACTTTTCATCGTCAAGAGATACGAACCTCTCTTTAGAATCTTTAATGTAGGTGTCAATAAGAAGACTGTACATTTCTGAATGTATATTTTCCATGGCAATCTGGAAGCCATAGAAACAACGAGCTTCTGTGATTTGTACTTCTTGACTGAAAATGAGTGTTTGCAAAAGCATTTATAACTAATTTGCAGATTAGAGGCATTGATGATATCTAGAACAGCTCTTGCTCAGCCCACAGAATCCTCTTCAGATTAATTCCAGACATGTGGATTATTAACAGCAGTATGAAGAGCAGTAGCCCCTCACAGCTTCAAGTCATGAGTTATTCTTTGGCCCCAAGAGAAACGGGAAAACTTCTTAGTTTTACTTATCCCCGACTAGGGAAAAGAGGACTGAGAGGACAGAAGCAGAACACGGGCTCTGAACCAGCCAAGTGTTACTGTAAGGCAATGCTCAGTGCCCCACGGGGAGTGGGCAAACTTGTGGCTTACAAAAGCAACCCCAATTCGCTGATTAGCGAACAGGCTAGATCAGCCAGCAAGCACGTCAAACATGTAGTTATGTGGTTACCTTCACTTCACAAAGCGATGTTTCTGTCAGGACTGTTCCTACATACTTACCAAGTTTTCATTGACGATGCCATCGCTGGCAGCAAAGAAGGCGAGGACGTGAGAAATGAAGTACTTCTCCTCAGGCTTCAGGGACTCCCAGTGCTGGATGTCTTTGGAAAGGTCCACCTAAAACATGGCCAGAAGAAGCGATGAAATGGATCAAGAGACGGGGGCTTCAGGGACAAGGCCCGTACCGGAGTCGCGGGGCTGCCGGGG